AAAGCAGAAGAGTGAATACATATATCAGAAGAACAGAAAGGGAAAATAACCATCGAGTGACGATAAGAATATGTATATTGAAAGATGACAACTATTAATATGAGATTAGGTTACCTACTTCCTAACAAAGTCGTGGAAATACAGATATTAGACAACAGCTAGCCGGCGGAAGGATTACAAATAGAAGAACATTCAAAAGGTCTCGATTGAGGGTAGAGGTGTTAGCCGATAGACTTTTCGTCGTCATCGGCAGAAACGTTTTTGTGAGGGCACTTGTTTACAGCCAAGCGATATGTATTTCTCAACAGTCGAATCGACCTACCAATATAACAAAAATATAATTAGTTGGACTTTTTTATTAGCTTTTCGATGTCGACCTGGAAGCTTTGACACATTTCGAAGTTTGGTGTCGACAAGTGCCTATATTTTCCATCTCTTGAAAGATGGTTACAAGGACACACTGTGTGTTTTAGGGGCATAGACCACTGAAAAACAAATATCAGTAGAAAATAATCAAACTTTTTTAGACCGGTTTTTACCGATTTAGAAAAACGTTTTCCGACGTAGCTTTCCGACCGGCCGATCCGATCCGATTGCGTTTTTTTCAAACGGTTCCTACTCTGGTTCAAGTATGACAACATAGTTAATTCGCAGAACCAATGCACGAGCACTCTTCTGTTGAATATCGTTTTCAGTGGGAAGTTTCCTGATTCCACTGGGCTCATAGCTAACGAATAATCATAGTAGTCATAGTAGTCATCGACCGAATACAGGAGAGTACTGTATATAGCCGCCAAACAAAATCAGATTGACACCACCGATCGGAACGATTGGATCGGCGTGTTTAGCTGTCGCGATGATGTTACTCAGTCGAGCCAGCAAGCATAGTCCAACCATGGCTCGTCCAGAATAACATATTCATGAAGCACCATTCATTTTCTAACTTCGTTTGGCCAGCACGATGCGTACGTTTGGACCTTCTCTTGTTTCCTCCTCTGTCTTTGTTTTTTGTTCCCCCCTAGGAAAGAGTGGACGGTCATTCCATCAATCTCACGACTCGTCAGCTGCTGCCACCGATGTTGGAGCGAGTTTGCGTAGTTTTCGTGCTCGGTTTATTCCAGTGAAGTAAGCAGTAATGGCTGGTATTAACTGAGATTTACCAGTAGCACCACCTCCTGGTACGCACATAATTAGCTGCGCTTGATTGCCACCTGAAATCCGAAGGAAGAGTTGCAAGAGTGGTTCTTTTATGTGAAAATTCATTTCCTACTCTCTTTATTGAGCCCATCAACGCCATCAAGACGGCCGGTAATGATCATGAATGCTGCCGTTTGATTTTTGTTAAGTATGAATTGTCGCGCAATTTGCTGTCGAGTAGGGCCAGTTGACAAGGAGATTGCTTTGACAGATTGTGTTTAAACAGAGTACGTTAACGGTTTAGATCGATCGAGAACGGAATATGCACTGTAAAAAATAAAGTGTGCCCAAAACACACTTAACTTGCACATCACTTGGATTTGCATTTGCATATCTAGAATGCACAATATGATGTGCCAGAAACACACTGGCAAAATTTACACACCTGCGAATATAGAGAGACTTTTACACTCCTAGAAAAAAACAAACCAGTTTGATTCGCATTTGCACACTTAGAACTTTTACACATCTACGGGCACACTTTATTTTTTTACAGTGTGAAGATTTAGAAAATGAAATATCTTCTCTGTTCACGCAAGAGAAATGTCTTACTTTGGATATGAATGAATCGGTTGGCTTGATCAACTGCTTGCAATGTCTTTTGACTTTTTTTCTTCCGACTTCATTCCTGGTTGTTCAATGTGCGTGAGTTCATCCATATCGATACTAGCCAGAACGTCCAAAATTTCTTCTTGCTCTTCGTCGTTCTCGTCGTTCGTGTCACTCGAGTGACTGTGCTGATGGATAGTTTCTGTTTGCATAGCTTCGATTACTTGCTGCAAGTGTTCATCTCGATCCTTTTTGCATTCGTGCAATAGTTGGATGTTCTCGATGAACTTGCGCGATTCGGGCATGATATTTGTTTGACGACTGTCGAACGCCTGCTTCCAGGTTTAATTCAGGTCACATATATCCAGCACTGATCGCCAAGGGACAAATAGAGTGAGAATGGAACGACAATAACGTTCTTGTGTCTCTTCACAATCTTGTCGAGGCATTGGCGGACAGAGTAAGACAGGAACGACTGGTGACGTCCGTTTCATATTCATGTGTATCAAATAAATATCGAGGATACATGAGTTTTGAAATCCATTTATATGGTTGTAAGACTGTTGGTGATTCAATTGGATTTATCATCATTTTCTTCAGTTGTTCATGTCTTGTTGGTTGATGTAATAATTTTTGATGAAAATTCTGATAAAGTTGTTCATTCATTTGTTCTCAATTGACTATCTTCATTCATAATTGTCACATCGAGAAAATCCACTGATCGATTAATTTGATAGTAAGTTTTAATATTTATATCTTTATTATCTGCTTGTTCAAGTCGTTGTTTCATTTCATCAATAGATTCATTTGTAGTCATAAAGATATCATCGATATATCTATTCGAAAAAATAAATAAACAAAAAAAACATAAGAATAAAATTCAAATGATTATATTATTTATTCAATGTATCACTTAACCTTCCATAGATTTCATTTTTCATTGTTTGATGTTGAATTAATTCTTTTTCCCATTGATACATATAGATATTGGCTAAGACTTGTGTAAATGCTGAGCCCATTGCACCACCACGTATTTGTCGATAATATTTATCATTGTAAACAAATGTATTAGTATCCAGAATTAAACGAGCCATTTTCATAATATCATTAATTGTATGTACCAATTTTACCTTGTTTTGAAAGTTGAATACAAAATCCTGCTAATGCTTCTAATGCACCTTGTCTTGGTATCATTGTATAAAGATCAGTTACATCAGCTATAATAAATCTTGTTGTTGATTTCATATGACCATCTTTGACATATTTCTCTAATTTTCGAACAACATCAATACCATTAATAAATGTTGTTCGACGAGCTACATCTAAAAAGATTGGTGCTAGAAGATTATTTAAGAATTTTGATATCAATGTTGTTGGTGCATTGATGGAAGCAATAATGGGTCGTAATGGTGTACCAGGCTAAATATGAAGAGAGAAAGAATATTATCAGCACAGAAAATATCATTACTTTATGTGGTTTAGGAAGACCATTTTCTAATTTTATATTCATATTGTGCACGTTTCCTTGATTTTGTACGAACAAATTGTAGCATCTCTGCGGTATTTAAACATGCAACTAGTTGATTACCATGTTCAATAGCATTGGATAACATTTGTTTAAAGATCGCATCTGATAGTTGTAGATAATGTGGTTTAGATGTTTGAATATCATTCGATTTCTTGTTCTTCTTTGATTGTTGATTATTTGATGGATTAGTTGTTATTGCTGCTGTTCGTTTATTTTTTGGTTGATTTCCTTTTGATATTGATATAATATCGATCTAATGACAATTACTCTTGAAACAATTGCAAACATTAAACATGGTCATCAAGAAATACTAGTCGATCTTCAAATGAAATTAAATCAATCGAATTGGAGTGAATCAGTGAAAAAAATAATTGAAAATCGTCAACAAGCTATTAAAGATCATCATGAAATTTATCTTAAACATAAATTGAATACTTTTTTCGACGAAGCTCCGATGGCAATTCAAGAATGAAGAAGCAGTCATCTCGTCATCGGAGCAAAGTCTTTATTTATAAAACAATTACTGCTTCATCACCAATTTATTCAAGTTGATTGTCGTTTTACACCACAACAAATGTCAATGTTTATCAAAGGTCTTAAATATATTCTTTCATGTCAAATTCGATTATCTTCTCGAAAATCGATCGATACAATTATTACTTAACAATATCAAGCAATATCTACTAAATGATAAGAAAAAGTAGAAGCGTAATTATGGAGAAATTAGATTATTTTCTTTTCGTTTCTTTGGAACGGAAAAAAAATAACAATAAATTGCTCGAAGTAACGCGATACGCAAACATGTGCTCTATTCTCAGCCTAAAGAAAAATTGCTTCAAGGGTGCTTTTGTTTTGTATGATATCAAGAATCCCGCTACTACCAATCATTACATGCGTTTCGAACATATATAAATTAATTTCAAACCAGCATTTGAGTTCTGAGGTGAGCTTTCAAAAAAACCTAGCTCTTTATTGATCTATAGCATCGGCTCTTTTTTAAAATTTCGGTGAAACGTTTATTCTTTTTGTTGAGTAAAAAAAACGAGAGAGAGAAGGGAGAGCATATATAGGTAATCTCACAAGGGTCTGTCACTTTTCCGTTGACATTGTTAAAGTTCTGTTTGCCGTTGAGAACACAAAAGAACAACAATCCTATTCAAGCGTTGAACTTTCTTGTACTCACTAGGCTTTCAAACTTCAAAGATGCCATTCTAGTTTTTTGAAAGATGAAATCTCATCTTACTCGTGCTTTTTATTAGATAGTAATCGGTGAAGTGAAACTTTTTAAGAAATAATCATGTGAACGAGTTTTGAGCATATTGGGTTAGATTGACTGAAAGGATCCTTTCAGGATCACATGTTTGTTATTCGCTATAATAGCCCGAACTTTGGTGGCTGATAATTTGTGTGTTTATTTACGAGATCGTCCCAGAATACCCATTACAATTTACGACGTAATGTGCGTACAGTATCCAATTCCAGTGTTTCATACATAAATCCACAATTTTTGTTGTGGCATCAGCATGTTTCTCTTCAGGAAGCTGAACGAAACGTAAATCACTATATCGCTATTGATCTTCTGTTTTCAGTTCCAATCATTCTAAACGTTTGGTCAATCCGTTCCGCTGGTCAATCGTCGCTTGCATTTCATCGAGTTATTGTTGAAATACAGCCGATAGCTTATCAAACATTAGATCCACAATATTTTCAGCATTTCCCTCAACTCCATCATTATTTGTTGCCAAGACTATAACGATCGAAACAGTATGTCATTCATTCAAAAATTCATATCAACGGAATAAAATTGTTTTTAATACGGTCAATTATATATGTAGTTCCAGCGCTACTAACCTAACCCGGCTTATTGTATCAGCAATGCGCAGAGCAGGGTTAAGTTTCTTGAGACTGGCTCCCAAACAACCTCCTATATGACGGTAGGAACCGTTTTATAAACTCCGCCGAATTCGTGTAGAGCATATTGAATAATGTCAACATTTGATCTAAACATTCACCTGATCTTTCCGCGATCCTGATCGTTCCGCAAACATCTCATCGTTTTTCGCTTGTCGTTTTTCGCTGATCAAAATATTAAATTTACCGCGAAACAACGAGAATTTGATTGTGTTCCAGGGACTTGGCCTCTCTTACAGAATGTGAAAGTGTCCAAAAGAGTTTCTTTACGAGAATTTTAGTTTTACATAGGAATTTTGAGAATTTATACGAGAGCTCGTCGTTTCGTTTATCTAAAGGTCGTTTCATGAAAATACTTCTGACGCTTTTCTTCGATGATATGCAGTTAACGAAAACAAACGATTGAGAGCTGCAATACGCCTGCTGGTGAATGAATGGAAGCACGTGTTAGTTTGTTTTAAATAAAAGAGATCTTACTAGACTGAACTCTGCAAACCCACACAAAACAAAAGCAAAGAACAAACGACATATCAACCAGGCATCATACATCATGAAAGATAAGTTTTCGGCCTCCCAGTACCGAAGAGACAAGCAAAGTGCTCATGAAGACAATGAAATTCTGATTGTTTTGTGGTAAATTCTGAATTTGAGACTGCTAAGATTGAAATGCTTTTCTTTTGATTGAGGTCTTTCGTAGAATTCTCATGTTGTGGCGAAATTCTTGTAGGAAAATTACAATTCCAGAATGGTTGAACTCGAACACTGCTGAACTAGAGAGGCATTTTCTAACAAAAATGTTAAAACGTAGATGACTTTGTCGATACTATTTCACGCAGCTAATGAAGATTTACTATAGAATCTAGTTTGACATAGAATATACAAGACCGTGTCAAAAACAGTTTTGTTTTGTTGATATGAATTTTTGAGTGGATGACATACTGTATCGATCGCTAATTCAAAAGTGAATTCAAAAGCAATCTTGATTTAACATTAGTATCAAAACATGATTTTGATTATATGTGTAAACAAGCCAAAAATAAAATAATTCGATCACTATCTTTATCAAACAGTCATATTTGTGGACAAATTAAATACTGGTATGACAATTATGACACTGAACAACAACAACAATTAAATTCATTATCATTACTGTGGCCAACAGTCGATGATTTAAATATCTTATGCTTATACTATTATCGAAAACAAAAAATCTAAATAATTTGCATCTGGTTAATCATCCTATATTGACTGAAAACAGAAGTGACAATGATAAATTGATAATAAAATATAATTTAAAGAAAAGTGACGCTCAATAAAGAAAAGAGAACCATAGAAGACGTTGTAGAAGTGGATATGACTTGTGAGAGCAATTTTCAGAACAGAAGTAAAATCCCACTGTTTTCAATAGAATCTTGTATAAAGTTGACATTTATTGAATTGAACACTGCTAGTTTCGACAAGGACAAGAAGCATTTTTATGAGGTTAAAAGTAGATAGATTCGTCGGTTCGCATACTTCTCATATGAGTTCGCCGTTACTTTTACGAACTGATGTCAAGTGCAAGAAACATTTTTCTGAGGTTAAGAAAACTAAGAATCGTCTTTTCGCATCGATTCTCTCTAATTTACTTTTTCTACGTGTGTCTATGCGTCAAACAAAGTACAGTGTCCTCCTTTTATCAACATTTTGTGTGCAATTCAATCATTTTTAAATTCATTCGTGCACTGTCTTTGTTTTTTGTCTCTCAGCAAGTGTTATCAATAGTCAGTAGCTTTGAGCAACCGTGAAACATCTACAGCCATGCTCGATTTTCTATCTTCTTTCTTGTCGTATTCAACATTCGACAAAACACGTTTGGCTTGTTGTGTAAATACTGACCGCCATCCTCAGATACATGTTTTTTTAAACTGTATTTATTTTTCAAATTTATTGAATTGAACACACATTAAAAGTGAGCTAATATCTTAGAGGAAGAGCTCTATTATTATTGGCGTGTCCGTCGAGTAGAATATTTAAACCCAGTAATCAGATAAGATAATGATCTGACAAATATTTTTGACATTCAATAATGTCTTTAGAGTTGTATGTTGTTCTTGTGTGTTTAAACTGATTTTTCGTTCTTCATTCTGACCATTAGTCTTATAGACATGGCAGCGAGTAGAATAATGGAATTTGATCTGAAAACATTATAGCCAATGTATAAATCTAGTGATTATATAGGAAAGAATCACGTACAATCACAAAAGCATCAATATTTAAAATGGTAAACGAACAGGAAACAGCGTCGGTAGAATTGCATGAAAATTGCGCATTTAGTAATCGGATCAAACTGATCATTCGGATCATGTGCTGAATAATGTGAAGTGCTCCTCTATGATGTTTGTATAAGAGAGAAAATATATAAAATCTATCTTTTCTATTTTATTCATTTTTTTGCAATAGAGTAGTTTTTATTAACTCTTGTATATAACACATCAAAGAACACACTAACTATGCTAAAATAAATCATACTTTGATTATGCAGTGAATATTTACATTAGTTTTATGTAGAAAATGAAATAAAGTGGAAATGAAACATGAAAATAAGATTAAATGAAAATTTGGCTTATTTTTTTAGAAAACCATATGTTGCGATTTTTGTATATTCAGAATAGTATAATTGATTGCGTGGTCCAGCATGCCTTGTATATATGTATATAGAACGTTATTTCTCTTTAAAGAACAAAATAAGAAAAGGTAGATTTTATATTTTTATTGACATATTCGTTTATTCTCTGCCCTAGTGAAACTTCTTGTCTTGGCTTAAGAAATGTCACAAGATCTTGGGAAAAACACCAAGAAGTCAAGATCTTAGATTCTTGAATTTACACAAGAGTGTAAAATAAAATGATGATTCAAGAATTTCCAAGATCTTGCTACAAGAAGTCAAGAAATTACAAGATGTTCAAGATCTTGACTTCTTGAAATTTCTTGAATTCTTATATTTTCTTACCAAGATCTTACTGAAAAAAGTCAAGATCTTGGTTATAGGAAGTTCCACTAGGGTGTTCAAAACAAGTAGTGCTAGCTATGATTTTATTTTATATTCTGCTCACTTCGCGATTTAAAACTAAAATAAGTGAAATAAGTGGAGAGGACCGTTTTCCACTTTTTATACTAATGTGAAGCACACAAGTTGTACTATGTATTGATCTGATTTTTAGGAAAAGGTCCCTAGTCTAGAAAAGACGTAGAATTGTCAACATCACTTTAGAATGTATCAAATGTATCAATTTCACTTTAGTTTTAAAAACTTCACGAGTTTGGAATGACCAACAGAACTTTCGTGATCAACTTTCTGAACATGGTACTCAAAGGAGTCAAGGTTGAGCTTTGTTTTTCTTACTTTGTTCAATAAACAGAAAAAATGTTCTGTATGAATGTTCTGTGCTCATATGACCAAAAAAAACCAGAATTAATAATAGTATGATCAGAGAGGATAAAATAAAAACGTCATCTCTCTTTTTAAAGTCGGATATTGAAGTAGCTTATACCGGATATTATCTTTCTTAAGCATAAGCTGAATGAATATTTCGCCGAACATACAAGATTTCTTCATTTCTTATATTTTTCAAATAAGAGCGTATGACACAGTGGCATCATTTTAGACACAAGTTCTATAAATTTAGCATGGAATTAATTATTCATACCTGTTTATCAATTTGTATTTTTACTTTATATTATCAATTTATATTTCTACTTTTTTTTTTTAGTTTTGTATTTTTACTTTTAATTTTTTATCAATTTGTATATACAAGGCATGCTGGACCACGCAATCAATTATACTATTCTGAATATACAAAAATCGCAACATATGGTTTTCTAAAAAAATAAGCCAAATTTTCATTTAATCTTATTTTCATGTTTCATTTCCACTTTATTTCATTTTCTACATAAAACTAATGTAAATATTCACTGCATAATCAAAGTATGATTTATTTTAGCATAGTTAGTGTGTTCTTTGATGTGTTATATACAAGAGTTAATAAAAACTACTCTATTGCAAAAAAATGAATAAAATAGAAAAGATAGATTTTATATATTTTCTCTCTTATACAAACATCATAGAGGAGCACTTCACATTATTCAGCACATGATCCGAATGATCAGTTTGATCCGATTACTTCGTTCATAGTTTTGACGGCTTCCCTAAGCATCACTGCTCTTATAAATTATATTGTTCACTAATGACCATTTTCGTACGAAATACTGAATTTCTGAATCATCAAGAACATTGTAATGAGAACTGGACGATTATTGATACTTTTCATATGCGTTTGCGGATCTTTCTAAATAGAAATGAAACGAGGCCAATGGAAGATATGAAAATCATGAAGGATGAACGTTACTCACTTGAGAGTTAAAAATTTTGTCCTTAACGATAGAAAATGGTCTTTCGTACCGTTCTATTTGGCATCCGGTCCTCTTCTTGGGCGTAGCAGGTTACAGTCTCATCGTAGTACCCATGTGATAAATATCGGCTAAGACTTGGCGACATATTACAAGACTGCGATGGACATGTTGGTCGATACGTCGGGGGAAGTCGTCAAGTTTCTTCTGCTGGTGACATTGAATATCCCGACAAATTCTGCGCAATATTAGTACGAACATTATTCGCAGCTTTTTAGAAGACATTTATGACGTCAGTCTACATTAGCTATTGAGAATTCTAGAACTTCTAAATCTTCTCTAAGGTCAAAAGGCTTTTCGAATGAGATGCTAATCAACTTGTTCTTTTCTCAAGCTGCTGGTAAACTCTGTAAAAGAAGGAAAGCGTCTGCATGCATCTTTGAAACAACTTCTTTTGTGTCCCTAATTAAGTTAACATTTAGCGCATAAGGAAAACATTTAGCGCATAGCAATGATAGCAACAATGACTGTACAATTCACTTATGTATATTCGATATGATATCAGCAAGGCATAATATTTCGCCAAGAAAAATAAATAAACGCAAAAAATAACTGGCTGCAATCTGTTTACTTTTCACAATTATTCCAAAGCATCTTATTCCTGTGATATCCTTTTCCCACAGATGAAATTAAAGTCCGTTTATCACACACTCTTGTTTATAAATTGGTGGGCTTCAACCTTCACCGAGGAAATTTTCATCACTTCACTGGAAAACCATAATTTTTGGTTTTCACTAAAACTTGGCGTTGAATTGCTCAAAAGTAAATACTAATTAATTTAGTTTTGTGGTCTTATGTACTCAGCCAAGCGCTGATATTCAACTGAAACTAAAGTATAGAGAAAAGGCCGCTTTCTCAGAAATATCCCAAAGGGTGACTGGCAGACACTCTGGATATCGGCGGGGAAGAGATTCGAACTTGGACAGCTGCTTAAAGAATTTCGTGTTACAGCTTTCAATAATGGGACGCTCAACGTTTTCACAAAGTCTCTCTTTCTGTCCAGAAAAATATATGTATGTTAAATATATCATCAAATACACAAACACATGGTTGATATGTGTAGTACATAAGTGTCACAACCTCTTCAATTGTAAAAATGTTAATTCTGATGAATAATCAACGATACAACCAAACGTACACACACTTTCGCAGTTATTCATCAATTCATCAAGTATCGGCCATCAAGACCATAAATAATAATCACGAAGGCAAAAACCAGCCTTTTCGTTTCTTCTGTGATCTCTTTCCTTCTGTGAAGGTATAAAACAGAGAATATTTGCTTACAGCGTTTTTCGGCAAATAAACAGACAAACATCCTTAACACATCATTCTCCCCCCTTCTCAAAATGTCAAAATATGTCGTCAACCCCATAAAAGCAAAATCGCACCAAATTCAAACAAAAACGTCACATTATATTAGCATACTACTCAAGCCTCAACACCATCGCTAAAATTCAAATATTCTTCACAACACACCAGATTTCACCTCATCACCGCAAATGAACTACCGCTATTTTGTACTAGGACTCACCACACTACTATTGACGTCAACTACGGGCAAGTACAACAAACCAAAATCTACACCCCACGTTCGCATAAGCATGCATATCAAGAAAGCCAAATCAGATAGTCCGAGATCCCGAACGCCATTCACACTCCCACTTTGCATATCGATAAAGTCGATGCTGGTAAGAACAAAGCCCTACAGGATTTGTCCTCATGCGGTCTAGTTACAGAGATATGAACAAGGGGATGTTAGCGTGTTGCTCGTTCTTTTTCTTCTATCTCGGTTTTCAGAGCTGAAATTTTGTTTCAGACCACTCCAGATAGGCCTCATAGCGTACCAAAAATTTCATTTCTCTAGCTAGTATACACACGGAGAAATCGAACTTTTTCTGTAAGCAGTTTCCGTCCAGCATCATTGCAGGGTTGAAAGAACCAGACGTGCTCATTTTCTCCTCAACAGTGGCTGTTTAATGAAGATACAGAAAATGGTCCGAGAAAAGTTCGATTTCTCCGTGTGA